AAAACTTGTTTCCTATCAGACACAAAAATCCATTCTAGCCACATACAATAATCAAAGGCAGAAATCTAGTTTTTGCTGAACATTTAAGATTAAAGGTATGTTGAAGACCATCGTAAAATGATAAATTATTTTCAAGTTATCCATTTATTTCTTTGATTTAATTTCCACTTTGTTACTGATTTTTTTTATAATTTACATTGTTTTTTTTTTCCTAGTATTTTTCCAATTTTCAATACATCAACTTCGATTGCTTATTGTATTGTTTTTATATACTTTTTGAAAAAAAAATAAAATGTATAGTATTTGATTTGCCAAAATTACAAAATATCGCCCTAAAATGCCCTAGTATCGCTTTTGCTTCCCCTACCATGACTTCGCACGGAGCGAATAGGTATCGTAATAGTATATTACGTAATAAGAGTTGTAAGTGACCCATTACGCACGAAGTGAAAATTTTATGAGCTTACAACTATTGTAACGTACTATACTTCTTCTACTCCCACTTAAAACATTCTCAAAAAGGATTTAAGGTTATGCTTGTGTTGCCAATCCATAAATTTTCGAAAGGTAATTTCGTACCTTTCTTTGGATTTTAGCGGTAACAAATTATGTGTGGCAGCTTGAGCTTTTTGTAAAATCTCCGGTGGAGTGCTCATAATTTCATAACTTGCACTGCTAACAAACATATTCGTAGGTACAGTTGAGAAAATGTTCGGATACAATCATATTTTGTTACAAAAATTGACAATATAAATGGCATGACGTTTATTTCCATAGCATGCTAAGAAAAATTGTATAATATGTTGCCGACATTTAGGGGCATCACACTTTTAACCCAGTATATATACCAATCAGTATTAGGCATTCCAACGACCTGTCAAACAATAGGTGCCAGTGGGAAATTCTTGTATATTTAAGGGGGTAGCGACATAGTCTTGCAACTTGGACGCTATTTTTATTCGAAGTAGTACTCGCCAAGCCTGCCAATTTATGAAGAAATGTATAGGTGGGTGTTTTAAATATTACTTTTATTGAGTTTGACATAAAATATTTAAATGTAATCCATTATTCATGATTTTACGTAAAGTAGATAGAATACACCATATGTCGCCACCCTTAGATATACCAAACCTGCCCACTGGTAATTCATTTGTTTGGAATGCCTAATTGGCACTCTGAGGCGGCACTTTTGATCTTTAAAAGTAGAAATTTTAGTTGACACTTGACGTTTTCGGGATATGAAAAGTTTTCTTTACACGGACTTGGTATACCTGGTTAGTTGAATTTTTGTTCTGCTGCTTTTCAAATTTGTGTGTATGAGCGAGATGTAAGATACCTTTATAGACAACGGTTGAACAACTTAATTACTTTGAAGAAGAAAATAGATTAGATATCAGGGCAGTCTTCGCAAATGTGAGAAGGCAGAACCGTTTTAATTTTTTTTTATATATGTGAAATATTACTTTTTAGTGAAAAGTTTTAATTACTTTTAGTTCAAAATATAACGTTAGCTTGTCAAGGAAAATATATAACACACAAGGTTAGAGTAACAAAATAGAGATTTTGCTTTATTTCTTAAGAATTAATCTAATCTAAAACTTTTCTATGTTGTAGAAATTTATTCTATACGTTATTTAGGTACTTACTGCAAAATCTATAGGAAAGTATGTAGTTTTAAATATAAAAATTTATAATGGAGACATATTTAGTGCAGTTTTTTTACAAATATATGCTCAGTGACTTGTTTTAGTGAATGAGTTCAAGTATGGCAGACTAAAATCGTTACTTTTTATTATGAATTTATTTAAAAATGGGAACTATATGTACATGGTTTTCGTAGTTTTTACACTTCTAATAAAAATATCAAAGTTATGTTTATTGGCCATTTACTACACACAGCAAATTCATAGACACTATACATATCACTATTTGACATTCTTATTAAACTCATTAATTTAAAATTTACTTTAAACTGAGTGACTACACACAGAATTGTTTGAAAGCAGCCATAAGGTATAATTTATTTATTGGATACTATAAAAAATTAATAGTAGTTACATGTAGAGTTAAGTAACAAGAACTTTAAAAACAAAACAAACCTTTATATCTAGTGAACTTAATTTAGTACAGTCCTCAACTTTCTTAGGCTAACATTAAAGATATCTATTTGGACCTCGCTAAAAATCTCATTGGTAACAGCCATTATCTTGTTAAAAGGAAATATATACTACTTGGATCTAAACTAAATAATTTTTTGTTACTTGGGATTCTTAGATTAATCTTTGCCACATTAAAATTTATATAGTCAATCAAATCACAATCTTTGTACTTAACATTATTTAAAATAGAGTACAAAATATATCACAGCCTGTTGCTATCTTCTTTGTAAAAGAGATTTAATCTTAAAACTATCGAGCATAGTTTTATATAAGATCTTATAAAGGTACAAGTATTTTTTATGGCATAAAAAGGTAGGGTAAAAATATTTTTTGTACTTTTTCAATATGATCAATATGTGTGGCTTTCAAGGGCATCCATATCTGTGATGGGGTCTTAGTAAGGCATTATATAATCTGATTTTGGTGGTAATTCTATTTTTTTTTTTTTTTTGTATTTCTGATTTAAAAACCCAAAGCTTTTATTGTTTTTTTAGTTATGTGTAAGAAATGGTTATTAAACTTCAAATTAGACTGAAAGACAACTCCTAAATCCTTTATCTCATATTCACGATTTAATGTGACATCACAGGTCTTGCGTCTAATGTAAAAAATTAAGAGGCTACAGATCCTTACAACTTAAAATATGCATGTTTGTAAGTGTTAAATGGACGGATAAAAAGTGTTGTTTTTATTTACAACTATAATAAGAAACATAATATTTTTGATACCTGATAATCAATAAACAATATATTTTTTGAAGTAGTAACAGATTTATTAATACACAACTATTATTTTGTTACAAATATTTATATTATAATATTTATAATTAACATAATAGTTGATATAAGTCCTTTAAAAATAATATATTTTGATTTAATTGTTGAATTTATACATGAGCAATTTTCCTTGTAGCGTTGTTTACATTTTGCAGAGAACTATTGTATTCTGCTTTTAGCTGATAAATCATGTACATGTAAACGGGTTGAATGTAGACAATGTTAATGTTTTTGCTACTACTGCTGGCTAGGAATGCTGGGCTGGGACACCAACACAAAAAAAAACGAAGCACAAAGCACTAGATCAGTTTCTATCACTTATACACTTACAATTTACAACCATTCAAGGAACTAGTATGTTGGAAATACTTTACGAAAACATATTAAACATAAATCGGTTGAATGCAATGTATTTTCTTCTTATAAGACATCTTTTTAGCTTGATTACTTCTAGTACTCTATTTATTCCAATGTCCTCAAATAAAACGAGCAATAATACGTAACAATAAGGATAAAACACACACTATAGTATATTATGCAACGATCATGTAATGATGGTTATTAATACACGAGCATTAACCGGGATACGAAAGGATCCAAAGGCGAGTTTCGTATGGTTTATGCGAGTGTTTTAATAACCATTACATGAGAGTTGCATACGCTATTTTTTCTACACCCGATAAATAATCAAGACCTATAAATATTCTATTTATATTGGTATTGAACACAATAACAGTAATTACTCGTATTTCTATAAAAAATTCTACAAAATTGTAATTAATGGTATTACCTTGGGTACTGGTATTACCACAGATTTTTGGGGCAAAATATTTTGTACTGCATTTTCTCCTTTCTCCTATATGTGTGGAGGAGTGTTCTATATCGCTGATATCAGACATTTTAATATTATAATTATCGAAGTTTAGCTATCTACGAAAATTTAATACGTTTTGACAACTAAAACAATTACATAGGAATTTAGGACAAACGTCAAACATCATGCTTGATTGAAAAATTGTAGGTTTCTATTGATTAAAAATCTGTATCATAATGAAAAATCTGTATCATAATGGGTATCATTATGAAACGGATTATGGGCATATAAGTGCATTATTATAATACGGGTGTAGAAAAAAGTGTATTTGGGGTATTTTTGATCTAAATTCACTATCAAAACAACAAATTTTCCGTTTTTAAGCTGTGAATGTATTACAAAAACTACTTCGATAAAATGTAAACAAAAGTTTGTATTTGTGTACGAAATATGGATTGCCTGCGCATGGTAGCGAGTTTTTAACCGGATTTATGACAAGTGATAGGTTATATCCCGAAAACGTCAGCGCAGTAAAAGCTGCGTGTCTTTTTCCCGCCCAGGGAGTGTCATGGGCCTGCTTTTAATCCAAAATTTGATTTCAATTTGATTAAACCAAGAAATTTAAGTGTATGTTATGTTATGAGATCTCATTACGTGCATGTTATTGTTAAATGTCATTTACAAGGAATGTTGATGGTGTGATTTTTAAAGTTTACTGACATGGGCGTAGAAAAAAACTATAATATACAATACGGTAGAGATGAACCATCGAAAATTTGGTACACAGTGCTTCGTTTACATGATAACCATAGTAACGACCGGTCTAAACATTAGACAGTGTCGTAGGGCTGGTATTTTTGTTTTGCAATATTATCTATCTTATATCTAATAAAGACCAGACAAGAGCAATTTGCTGTAGTAGTACCTACATTGTTGTTTAGAGGTGGTTGTAAGAATATTTACGAAATAATGGTTGGCACACTTATAAAACAGTTTCATTATTTCATCTTAAAAATGTTTTTATGACCAAATTTTAAGACACTTTTGCATTTAAGACAATATATCTTATCTATGACTACATTAAAATAAAACTTTTATTTATGAATTGTTATAAGTAACTGATGTATACAACATTTTAATTTTATCAATAAAAAATTTCTTAGTGGGGTAACTTTCGGGTATGATCACATTTAAACTTAATAACACTTCTACGTCATCTTCGATGGTTATTCCAGAACTTGATTGTTTCAGTAAAGCCTTCAATAATATTCATAAAATGCTAAAACTAGGCGGCATGGCTTTCCTTACGTTTTTTGACAAAATACCATGCGATAGTATGTTCGATGAGCTATCGCGTCATCCAAAATGGAGCAAATACGGTCAAGAAGATATGATTTCTAGTTACTTTTACAGCTCAAATCCGGAAGAGGAATACAAGAAAGATTTAGAAGCAGCCGGATTTAAAAATTACGTTTTTGAAGTGGAAAAAGGGTCTTACAACTTTTCTTCTGAACAAGAATGCAATGGTAAGTACCTATTTCAATTTTTCGTTCTACATTTTACCAATCTTTGGATTTTTTAGATACCCATCGCGTTGTGTGAATATATGCATTTGAATATAAGGCGGCGACATTCGAGCGACATGTTGCTTGGGTGTCGTGTTGTACCATCTGTATTGGGCCTAATGCTCATACTATTCTGTTGCGGCCCGATCTAGGCAAACTACTCGAAAAAAGTGATTCACTTTGAAATTTCTATACGTGCCTGTAATTATCAATTACTGAGGAAAGTAATTGTAAAAATTAAATTACCAATCACTAATCACTCAAAAAGTGCTTAAAATCATTGTTGAGTCACAAGCCGAGATAAATTTTTTTTGATTTTCTATTCTAATGCTTGACTTCTGATTCTAGATATCAAACAGTACTTGATTTTCCATTTTAGCTTTTGCTTTTGTCTGATTTACGTCGATAAGGAGGTCATAAAGATTTTAATTTATTTTATGAGCAACAGATAGTAGCACTTTGATCAACCTGATAGTAAATTGCATATTATTTATGATCAGTAGTGATTATTTACTTGTCTATCACACCTGCAACAACCGCCCTTGTATGTTACTAAGTTAGAAAAAGGCATCAAGTCAGTGTAAACAGGATGTTGACATATTCTGTTTTATTTGTGGTAAATTTGTTAAACATTTTGCATTGGCAACAAATTTGAAGCTTTGCGAAGCTTACGAAGTCTATTTTAACCTCAAAATCCGGAATCAAGAAAAAAATGGGTATCTCAGTTTACCTATATTAATTGCAAAAATACTTTAAAAGGTAAAAAACTAAAGTTTTAAATTTTAAAAAATATCAAACATTAATGTTCTATATTAGTATTTATTAATTTATTATGCATAAAACTAAAATAACACTAGTTTTTTTTAATTGGGTGTCATCGACATCAACTACTAAGGTTATTAACCTCGTAATCTGTGTATGCTTTGTTACTGTTTCCCAGAGCCACTTTAGAAACAGAACTGTTAATTAGAACCCAACAGTGAATGGTCGAGTAGGGAATCTTACCAAGGCATCGGAATTAATTTTAAATAATTAAATTAAATAAAACAATCCCGGCCAACGGTGGGATTCGAACCTGGGACCCTTGCATCCGCAGGCAGAGACTCTACCACTGAGCCACCCACCCCCCAATTACACTGGTTGTTTATGTTATTAGTATCGAGGGGGAAATCGACAAAAGTTAACAGTGCCAAGACTTTGGAGGGAACCTAGTAATCATGTGCAAGACTGTTATTTTTGTATCGTTACTCCAAATAAGCGTCGAGCTGGTAAAAATGCTTAAAATATTTTTTATCCTGATCTTCCTTCAACGTCTTCTCCAATATCACATGATAAAAATGTTCTTGTCCCATCTCGTTCATTATTAGATAACTTTGGAATTCAATACGCCGCTTACTTATACCGGGTAGGTACTATGAATACATCGCAGAGTTTTGAACCACATTTCATCAGCTCAATAGAATTGAATGCTTTAGTACGAGACTTAAACTTACCCAAGAATAACGCAGAGATTTTGGGTTCATGATTAAAACAGTGGAACTTGCTTGAAGATGATTTGAAAATAAGTGATCAAAGAGAGCGCCATAAAATGTTTTCTTGTTTTTTCACCAAAAAAGCCGGAATTTGTTACTGTAATAGCGTGACTGATTAATTTAAGGAAATCGGAATACCATGCACACCTTCTGAGGGGATTTATTTTGCTCAAGGTGAAGTAATATTAAAAAATCACATAAATATGATTGACGAAATCACTAGTGATACGAACACTGAAAATAACTGGAAAACAGTTGTTAATAAAAAGCGTAATAGAAGACAAACTGTAGTAGGGAGCAATCGCGAACAAAATGAAGTAGAAGGAGTTGAAGGTAGGTACGGCTACACTACATGAATATCACGTAAATCTACATACCACAGAAGCTGTTTTATGTGATTTGATGAAAAAACATCCTAATGTCTACAGTTCATTCAAGGCAACAATTTGGCCCTCAAACTTTAAAAAAAGCCATGGATGCTAATTTCTGGCCTTATAGGTTAGTCGTTTTTTATTTATACGCCAGAGAAACAATCCCAACAACACTTAATTTTTAATCCACAACTACTCTTGCTAAATATTAATACCATTAATAATGACAAAATTAATTTTCTTGAAAATGACAAAGATCTCAATATTTTATGTATAAATGAAATTGGTATTAAAAACGATTACCCAAATTTAATTAGAATTAAAAATTTTAAATTAATTAGCTTTTATTGCAGAACAAATTTAAAATGTGGAGGTACTAGTATTTGGATGAAAAACTTTCATAACGTGAAATGTATAGATCTGTCCACATTCTGTATAGAAAAACACTTCGAAATATGTGCTGTATCTTACAAAGTTAATAAAATTGTTCATACTATTTTAAATTGTTATCGATCTCCTTCTGGAGACATTAATATTTTTTTAAATCAAATTTCTGAGGTGTTGATCATATATACATCCCACATACTCAGTTTATTTTAACGGGAGATTTTAATTTTGACAAATATTCAAATGATAGTTTTAACGATTTGTGTATGCTTTTGTCCTGTTTTGACCTTGTGCTAATAGTTACTTGGCCAACAAGAGTCACTGAAAATTCCTGCACATTAATTGATCAAATTTTCGTGAGCAGCTGTAAATACAATGTTACGTGTTGTGTCACTGATAACGAAATTTCAGATCATCGTTCAAATTTTTGTGATTTCAATTCTTTAAAGTTTTGCAAAAGGATTCAAAAATAAATGTTGTAAGGGGGTTTCTCGCCACAGAGAAAACGATTCCTTACGAATGACGCTGGTTACGGGCGGTTCTCGAGCGCCAGATTTTTGGTGATGGTTTACTCCACGAACTTTCGAAACGGCGTCGAAAGTACTCGGGTAGCTACAGATGGAGATGAAAAATTCCAGGGGTCAAAGTCACTTAGACACAGGTAATAGTGTGCCACAAGTAACGGGCTTTAATCGTTGCTTGGGCTGGTACAGAATTAATCACTAGCTGAAATATAAGGGGGAAATAAATTTAGGAATTATCAACCAGTAATACGGCAGGTTAACATTGACACATATATTGTGGTTAACTATTTACAATAAAAAAAAAATTAAATATTTCAACGCCCACCCTCACGGTAATATGTACAAACCCTGAACAAAAATAAACAAACAAAACGAACGGAAATGACTTTTGAGTAGTCTCAATCAGACGTAAAGAAAAAAAAATGAAATCAATACTTATAATTCACGGTCGCAGTAAAAGTTTATTATTGAATTGTCTATTCTGTTGTTGAGTTAAAAATGCAATTTGCTATTTTATTCGGGAGTATTATTTCGGTCGTAGCAAAAATTAACTGTTAAATTGTCTAATCGGTATTTACAATCAAATGTAATTGAATGCTTCAGTAAAGCAAAATATCGTATTGGTTGCAGAGAATGCGAGGAGACAGATTCGGGGCTGAAACCGGGACCCTATAAGAGGTTTACTCACAAGTGGTTGGAAAGTAAAACCAACTAACAACCGGGATAGTACATTATCCCTGAGTGAACCGATCGTAATCACGAGCCGCTTCAAACTGGGGAATGATACTATTTAATGTCAATTAATTAACGGAGTTTTACATAAAATAAATTTAATAACCGGGATAGCACACTATCTCTGAATGAGGCTATCGTAATCACGAGCCGCTTCAGACAGGGGAATGATACTATTTTAGTTCACTTACAATAACGGAGACTAACGCAAATGAGGGTTTCAGACGGAAAATAAACTAATAACCGGGATAGCACATTATCTCTGAATGAGACGATCGTAATCACGAGCCGCTTCAAACTGGAAATTATGCTATTTAAATTTTCTTAAAATTTGCAGTTTGGAGAATAAAACAAAAGAAAATGCCTCGTCGCAATTCCTAAACAGTTCCAATCAATTATTTATTGGATAATGTTTTTAATAAACTGTAGTATTTGTTCACGGAAATTTCTTGCAGTAGGAAAAATTTACTATAAGACTATATTTACGATTAAATGAAAAATAAACTAATTAACGGTTAAGCCTTCAAATAAACTAAAATGAAATTTATAATTTATTCACATAAATTTCCAGTAGTAGGAAAAATTAACTATACGACTATATGTACAATCGAATGTAAAATAAATTGTTTAACGCTCAAAACTTTAAATAAACTAAAATGAAATTTATTATTTATTTACGGAAATTTCCAGTAGTAGGAAAAATTAACTATAAGACTATATTTATGATTAAATGAAAAATAAATTAATTAACGGTTAAGCCTTCAAATAAACTAAAATGAAATGTATTAGTTATTCGCGGAAATTTCCAGTAGTAGGAAAAATTAACTATACGACTATATCTACGATCGAATGAAAAATAAATTGTTTAACGGTCAAAACTTTAAATGAAATTTATAAAGAACGGTGTATTCTAACAAGAATAAATTAAAGTATTTTTCAATCAAAACAAATTCCAAAATCCTAACTCAACACGGAATAAATCAAATTAAATCGGTTTCAAATAGCACGGCTTAAAGACTCGGGCACGAAAGAAATTATATAAAAAAAACTATCAACAAACTTTACCTCGCGGCGTGAAATAAATTTCGGGATCGTAGGTATTTAGCGTTTAATCGAGTATTGGATTTGACGGTGTAAAAGCAAGTAGTCTGTTCTATAAATCGGTATATTAGGAACTAAACATTTTATTTCAATCTCGGACCACGTTTAGTCGTCGCATGCCCTACCACATCCGAAAATCCCACCATTAAAACGCGCGCGCAAAGTACCTCGACGATGGTTTGAACAGCGATTAAAACTGATGATATACAGGGTATATCCACGAAGTTAAAATTAAGTAAAAATCGAAATTAATACCCGGAATTAGTTAAAAAATAAATAATAATGAAAATTGACTTCATTACAATGTAGTGAAAAGAAATTTTAGCGAATATAATATAGCGTAGTTTAAACAATCTCTTTCCAATGAAGACTGGACAATTTTAAATAATATTAGTATTCTTGATAAGGCATTTTTGTATTTTTATGACATTTTAGAAAACCGTTTTAATTTTTGCTTTCCTGAAAAACAAAGTAACTTACAAAAAAACAAAAAGTTGGATAGATGCCGAAATTGCTGCCTCAAGTCAATCATTATAAAAGACCTTTCTATATTAAAAAAATGTAATCCTCATTTTACCGAAATATATAAAGAATGTAAGAAAAATAATTCCTTTTTATTACAATCAAAGAAAAACGAACACTATCAAAAACGTATTCTAAGATCAGACAATACTATTAAGACTTGTTGGAATGTTTTCTCAGAAATTACGAATAGGCAAAGTTCTGTCCCAACTATTGTCATGGAAAAGGACGGGATGTTATTGGATGATCCACGGGAGGTAGCTGCAGAGTTTAATAGTTAGTAGTTTTTTAAATATGCTCCTTGTCATTTGGTCGACAAAATAATAACAAAGTCTACCAGTAACATCGAAGGAATCACATCAAATAAAGATTCTTTCCTCCTCACTCCATTTTCTCACATAGAATTATTAAATTTATTACTTAGGAAAATTAAAAACAAAAAATCTTCTGGAGCCGATGACATACCATGTTTCGTACTAAAACAAGTATTAGATGTTCTCTCTGAACCTTTAACATATTTGGTAAACTAATCATTTGAGATGGGCAGTTTGCCTCAAGCTTTAAAACTGCATAAGAAAAATCATCGTAGACAAATAGAAAACTATAGACCTGTTGCTATTCCCTGTCGTATGTCTAAAATCTTTGAATATGCCTTTCTTGACCGTCTTCTGTCTTTCTTGAAAAGTTAACATTATAACAGGAAATCAGCATGGATTCTATGCTGAAAAATTAACAACAACTGCTGTGCTTCCATTTTACAATAAAATTATTCACCATTTGGAAGAATCTGAATGCCCAGCTGTATCTTTTGTGATCTCAATAAAGCATTCGATTGTGTAAACCATGAGTTGCTATTAAATATATTGGAGAAATATGGAATTAGAGGCAATGTTTTAAATTGGATCTCAACCTTTTGACGTGCTAGGAAGCAATATATTTCTTTAACAGTACAAAACGACTACAAAATCAATACTATAAATTCTGATGCACTAGATATTAATATGGGAGTTCCTCAGGGTTCCATTTTGGGACCCATATTGTTCATACTGTATGTAGACAATGTTGACTCATTAATAGGTGATAATCATTATGTAAGCTATGCAGATGATTTTTCGGCTATAATTTTAGCTAAAAATACGGATCTACTAAACAGAAGAGCTTCAACATCGCTCAAAAAATGTCAAGTTACTTTAATAGCCTTGATTTATTTTTTTAATGCTAATAAGACTGAGGTACTTAGATTTCATAACAGGCGACATAACGTTGAGCCCCTAGAGATTAGTTTTGAAAATGTCCTTCTTAATAATGGGAATGATAGCATTCGCTTTCTAGGGATCCAAATAGATCAATACCTTAACTGGAAAGACCATTGTAGAAAACTGGTCAAAAAATGAACTCTCTAAAGTTTCTTTTCATGAATTTAGGGTCTATACTTGAAGTTCGTCAATTAGTTATGGTGTATTTTGCACAAGTAGACTCACGTCATACGGTGTATGCTTATGGGGAAATTCAACCTACTCTAAAAATATTTTTCTTGTTCAAAAAAGGGTCCTGAAAAGCATTGCTAAGTTCTCACAAACAGGCTCTGTCGACCATACTTCAAGGAATATGGCATATTACCCCTTTGTTGTATTTTATTTTTGAAATGTGCCTATTCACTTACAAGCACAAAGAAATTTTTGTAACTAATAGAAATGTACACAGGTATGAAACCAGACAGGCTGACGAACTACATATACCTTATGCACGACTCAAGGTAACATCTAATGCGCCAAATTACTTGGGGCCCAAATTGTTCAATAGATTTCCTCTTGTAATAATGGAAAATAATTCATTTTTTATTTTTAAAAGAAAATTAAAAGATTTTTTACTAGAATATTGTTTTTATGATCTCGCTGAAGTCCTACTCATATTTTATTCTATTTTCTAGTTGGCGGCTTTTTATCGATATCTCTTCTAGAAGCTTAGAAGCAATTCTTCTTCAGAACGAAAACCAATTCCCTAGTCTTCCTGTAGCACATTTTGCATTGCTTAAGGAGAGTTACGATAGTGTGAAAATGATACTGGAAAAGTTACTTAATACAATTGGCGAGTAACTAATAGGCGATTTTAAGATGGTTAGTTTTCTGATGGGAATGCAAGGAGGGTATACTTAATACCCTTGTCATCTTTGCTTATGGGATAGCAGAGCAGAATCATTACATTACAAACGGCGTATATGGCCTGAACGAGTCGAATTTCATATAGGAAAACATGATGTCGAGTCGGAACCAATTGTAGAGCCTAAGAATACATTGATGTCACCGTTACATATAAAATTGGGCCTAATGAAGCAATTTGTAGAAGCTGTGGATCCAAATTCTGAAGCTATTTAAAGGAATTTTTTCCCAAATCATCTAAAGCTCAAATAAAAGCGGGTATTTTCGTCGGACCACAATGGGCCCGTTCACTTTCATTTTTGAATGTGAATTAATTATATATTTATAAAGATATTAAACTCTTTTGTCTGGTAGTACTTTTCCCGTTAAGATATTTTTGCTAGAAGTAAGGGAATTCCCATAAAATTCTTTCAGTGACTCATTGCGTCAGAAAATCCCTAATTCCGTTCACGTCTCGTATCGGTTATGCTTAAAGACGGCGGGGTTGTCGGAAGTATCCCTAATATAGCATTTCTGCATTTATATATGTAATTTAAATAGTAAAATTTCATTATTTTTCTAAAAATCATGAACTTATATTTTCAGATTTAAAGCTGGGAGCTTATTTTTTACTTTTTAATTAAAACAATTATTATTACTCAGGCTGAAAATTAACCAGACCATAATCAAAAAGTAGAAATTTGATTTGCAATATTTATCTGGTAAACGTGGCAACGTTGCATTTATTTCTAGAAGTGTGTGTAGACAACACTATTTAGAAGTACTTACAACGTTGTCACGTTTACCAGATACATTTTCTCAAATAAAATTTCGATCTGGTAATATTCAGCTTGAGTAATACTAATTGTTTTTATTAAAATTTAAAAAAGGTAGGGCTTCCAGCTTTATCTGAAAATATAAACACATTATTTTTAAATAATAATATATTTTTATCATGTAAATTTCTTTAATAAATGCAGAAGAGGAATGGTGGTGCAATGATACATCCGACAACCGCGCCCTTTTAACTATTAACCGATACGAGACCTGAAGGGAATTAGGGGTTTTCTGACGCAATGAGTCACTGAAAGAATTTTATGGGAATTCCCTTACTTCTAGCAAAAATATCTTAATGGGAAAAGTACCACCAGACAAAAGAGTTTAATATCTTTATAAATATATAAATAATTCACATTCAAAAATAAAAGTGAACGGGCCCATT